TCGGATTGCACTTTCACCTAGGTGGACTTGTTAATCGGTGAACTGGTTTAATTTATTTTGCAGGCTTCCCCCACAAAAGAGCCAAAGTATAATTTGAACCCTGTCTACCAGAATAACCAAATTTGACATCTGGCAGTTGAAGGCCTATTGGCAGTATTCTGTTCTTAAAAACAGTTTTACCAAATTCGAGAGTTGTAGGCATGGAAGTGAATTTTTCGCAATTACAGGAATCACATCAACGTATTTTAAGTGGGTTTTTTTTCTGTGGTATCTGGTAGTACTTGATCAGCATAGTAAGTTCTGCAATAATCACATGCTTTTTATATCTGTCTTTTTTTTTTATCTTTCTTTCAGCTGGTCTAAGTTGGACTAATGTAAATTGCCAGGCAATTCAAAAAAAGCCTTGGATAGAAAAAACACAGATGTTTTCTAGAGGTGGAAGGCAAGCTGAACAGAGAAATAGTTCACAGGTACCTCTATCTTTAATAATTTTTTTTTAGTTATCTTGTAAATTGTATCTCAAATCATTAAGAATTAACATGTATTAAATAGTCACTGAAAATGAAATAAAAGGGAGCAAAACTGCATGACTGTTTAAACACTGTTTATTGACATAATCTAGGTAGAAATCTGCCAAACATAAGTAAAGTCTATAATCTGCAATTAAGGAACGTATGTTTCTAGGTATATTTATAAAGTAATTTGTGAAATTAAGATGCCTCTATAGAATAATCAGCATAACAATTTACATGTACTGTATAGGGTGTTTAATAAATGCTTTAAACAACCTGAGTGAAATAAAGCTCATGTTAACTTTTGTTTTGATGGTTAAAGAAATCACAAATATTTTGATACCTGAAGTCCCTGTTCCTGTTGACTGACCTGAAGTTGCTGAGCTCTGTTATATTTGTGGGAGTTTTGCCCTGTTAGTATTTCTATAAAATCTTCTTCTTTATGGAGGTGGACTATTAGATAGTTGTGTGCTGAAAACTATGTAAGGCATTATCCTAGGAGAAAATTGTTAGAGCATTTTAATTACTTCAGTATCTTGGTGCATGTTAGGATTGCTTGGGGGTGCCCTTTCAAACCATGATGGTCTTGCAACTTATTTGAAAAATTGTTAGTGAGTAGCTCTTTATAGCTGAGTACCAGCCTTTCATCAGAGCCCACTGGTACAAATCTTGATATAAGATGCAAATTCTAAAATAGCTGCTTGTTTACCTTGAGACCCTTGGATATTAGAAACCAGGTGTGGGGGGGAAGGGTGTTATGTGTATACACATGTGCAAGAAGGTATGTCAGTGGGTGTCCTTCCCCTCCTTCCCCCCCCCATCCTTATTTTTTCTCCTCCTGTATATGAACGTTGGAATTAGAGAAATTGATTTCCCCCTAAATCTTCTAGGAATGCACTAATTGTGGATTATCCTTATATACTCTGGTTACTTTGAGTCAATGCTGTTTGAAAACTAATTATTCCAAGCCGCCCCGCTTCAAACCTGGATCTAGGTAGTAAGGGTGCTATGGGGTCATCCCATTCTGCTGCTCTCGGGTATACTGACATGGATCTTGGGCACGGCATTCAAGTGTGAGAGCAACTTTGCTGCCTCAGTCTGAGGTTTGGAGCTGTGAAGGTTTTTAAGAGACAGAAGGCGCTCCATAGAGGGGGCTCTTTTTTTTTTTTTTTTTTTTGAGAGCAGTCTTGAGAATGACACAGTGCCCGTGTTGACACTATATATTCCTGGTCAGTGCCTCTGGGTACGCCAGGTGAAGAGAAGGGGCACCACCCTTTTATTATGAAATGTCAGTTTGATTGACTTTTAAGATTACAGGGAAAGTGCCAAATGAAACAGACCTGGCACAGAGAGCTATAAAATATACCTGATTTCAGCCCAGCTCCTTGAACCTGAAGGAGAAGTTGTCCTTGAAACACTGCAACAAAAGGGCAGCAGTTAAGAGCATAGATTTAACTTGCTTCTTTCTTAAATGGAATCTTGCCAGCAAAAGCTCATTCAGAAAGCTGTAGGATATTTGGCTCTCTAGCCACTTGGAACATGCCTCCTTCTCTGTCAGTTCTTCTCATGCTTGACTCTGCTGTGATGCTCATAAGTGGGCAGTCTTTTGCTTCTCTTAACTGCATTAGTTACACAAGGTAAAGTGTGCAAGCAGTTGAACTGACAGAGCTGCCAGCATGAGAATTTAAATTCCACTCAAGGAGTGGTGGGAATCTTTACTTGTGCAGTCAGGCCAAGAGATTAAAAGCTTTTCGTGCATTATTGGTGAAGGGCTGAACAGAATATGAATGAGGACAGGCCAGAAAACAAAGGAAAGAAAAGAAAAAAAGAGAGTGATGTTTTAGTTCCTTGGTTTTATTCCCTGCTGGGATAAAATGGAGACCTTTCAGACTTTTTCTTTCAAAAACAGCTTAGCTGTTTTGGGGAGTGAAAGAACAAGCAATAGCCTAGCAGGTAGGTCACTCTCCTTTGGTGTGGGAGACCTGGGTTTCAGTCTGATCTAGTTGCTCTGGTTCTGTACTAGGCTACGCTAGTCACTCTCTCTCTGGTCCAGCAAATATTAATTTAAATAAAGTGTAAAAAACTTAAGTAGGAGAGATGGAAACCTACCTTATCAGAATGGAGACTTGAACGTGGGTCTCCCTCAGCTCAGGTGAGTGGGATGTTGTTTAAATATGGTACTTTGTATTAATGTTACTGAATGTATGAGCAATGTTGTACATTATTATTGCTGGATGAATAATATTGGAGAGAAGCTTTTCATGGAGGAAACAGAGTTTTTTTGTAACCACCTCCTGGCTCCTGCCTTATGGCAGGGGGGGGGGGGGGTAAGGCCCATGATAGACTCCGTTTTCCAGCAGCTCCTACCTGTATCACTCCTGCTGGTCCCCATGGAGATCCCAGGAACAGTGGGGCTGTGGCTGCATGGGCTCAGTGTTTCTGTGGCGGCTGGCCTGGGCGGTGCTGTCAGGGCACACGGCTGGGTGGGGAATCTTGGCCGGATCTGCCATTTTGTGCTAAGCGCATGGTTTAGTTTGCTCTTCGTATGGGGTAAAAACAGCTAGACCGTTAATTCAGGGCATCTGCTATAGGGCAAGTCTCTGGCCCCTTTTAATTAGCTACATTTTGTTTGCTTGTCTATAAACTTACTAAACTAAATGTATTTTAATAATATTAATTCCAACTTTCTTGCTTTTAGACTGGTTTCAGATGCAGGGGTCATAGCACGTCTTCAGAAAGACGCCAGAAGTTGCAAAAAAGGCATGAGAAGCCGTTAACAACCAACCAGTTGAACAGAACTGAACCAAGCCCTGAATCATTGTATTTTGAGGTATTTTTCTATATTTATATTGCTTGCAAGTGTAAAAGCAGTCGCAGATGAGGTCTAATAATGTTGAGTGGGTGACAGTTCTGGCAGCAAGTTAACTTCAGAGTTCCACAATAAAAAACAAATTTCATAATATGCATTGTACTTCTAGCTTGTGTGCATACTGATGGGGGATTTCTTGGGGGAGGGTTGTTTTTTAAACAACTTATACTCGATTTAGTCAAAATTTACTTGCTTCATTTTTATTTAGTTGTTAAAATGGTAAATCAGCTCAACATCTTTCTCTAGAATTGCCATTTATTTAACATATTGTACTATTTACTTAGTGCTTGTATTTTGAAAGCTGTGAGTATAAGAACTTCCTGCTTGAATAGGCATCTTCCTGATTGCTGCCTCAGCATAATTTAGAATTATCTGTCAAAATATTTCTGAAGCTGATTAGTTACGAGAAGGCTATAAACTTGTAATTATTTCCCTTGTCAGTGGTTTTTAGTATTTGAGTATTTGCTTTGTTACAAAGTGATATATAGTTCAGTTAGTTGAAACAGGTTTGATTTGGTTTTTTTTCCCATTCGAGTTTAATGCTTTTGATTGGACACACAAAGGTGACCTTCATTTTGAAACCTTTCATTTTATTATGCATAATCTTCTTCATTTAGGATGAAGATGAATTTCCAGAATTAAACAGTGAAAATGGAAGTGGTAAAGGTGGTGGCATTCAGCAAAAAATTACACCAAAAGTAGTGAGTAAAAGTTCTTGTGATGTTTCTAAAACAACTTGTTTTAAGAAAAAAAAATTGTTTAGTGTCTCAATTGGAAATAGTGTGCGAGTCTCTAATCTGTCTGAAGAGGAGAAAAGGTAGAACTGTTGAAAAATGTAGAACATATACATTCCCATAAACTTCTGTGGAAATGCCTTTCTAATTTGTCTTTTAAGTAAAATAGCATTGTGCTGGAAAAACAGCATTAAAAAGCCAGAACTTATTAATTTTTATTTTCCAAAGCTGTTTAACAACAGTGGTGCTATATGATGTATGTAGGAACACATTTTTTAAAATTACTTAGGGAAAAAACATTGAAAGGCTCTGTAAGGAAAAAATTCTTGACAATATTAAGGGAACAGTTGAAGGAAAAATGCTTCTAAGAATGAAGCTAATTAGTTCACATACTCTAGTGTGTTGTAAATTAAAATATATTTTTAATATAGTTAATCAGAGAAAAAGAAGAGGTTTTGCAACATCATTTAAGTTCAGTGATGCATTTTATTTGAATGTTCAGTTATTTTTTAATCAGATAAGCTGTCTTTAAAGTGGTTAAAGTTGCACTGCCTTATTTGGGGGTTTTTTTCAGATTTTTTTTTTTTAATTGTTTTTAAAATGACTACTGTTTCTGGAGGACCCAAACACATGTTCATTAAGTTTGGCTACTAATGAGTCATCACAAAGCACTGGACTCAAGAAACGGTTTAATCTGTATTAGCCATTTTTTGTCCTTGATGTACAAACAGAAACAAGGCATTCAGTTTAAGCTTTATTGGAGGAGGGGATAGAGACTGAATATTTCCTAAGAAAATTCAGCATAAAATAACGAATTAAGAAATTGCATTTTGCCTTAGTAATGCATCTCAACAGTTTTGTTAAATCACGACATAAAAAACGAAAAATACAAACTTAAACTGACATCAACAGAGTTTGCTTGATTTGTGCTTCTCATTGTTTGAAAATTGTTCAATGTGCAATTGTTTGGTGCAAAATTTTGTATTTAAAATATATTGTGTGTTTTAAATGTCATTTGCCAGAAAGTCGAATCCTGTTTGAGTCAAACAAATATTTCATGTTGACATCTGCCTGCAATAATTATTAGGATGTAAATGCAGTTAATATCTATTTTATTTACTTAGATTTTCTAGCCTTTAGTTTCCTTCTAAAGGGCTCAGACACAAAATAGCTTATAAAAAACAAAATATAATATTTAAATAAGATAATATAAAACAAACTCCGTCTAAAATGCCCCAAAATGGGTGTCTTTCAGAATAAGGGTGAAGTGCTATGCAGAATTAAACTTTTTTAATCCTTTAAACTTTAACTTTCTATATAGTAGCTGAATTTTAATTCTTCTCATAGGGAATATGGTACTGGAGAATACCTTATCAGTCACCTTAAGTAAATCCTTTATTAGCCTTTCACATAAGTAATTATTTTTCATGCTGTAACAGCTTTTAATAATGTGTATGCGCTTTCTTTACAACCTTAGCTGGATGACTTACCTGAAAACTCTCCAATCAACATAGTCCAGACTCCCATTCCTATTACGACTTCTGTACCCAAACGTGCAAAAAGTCAGAAGAAGAAAGCCTTGGCAGCAGCGCTTGCCACAGCTCAAGAATACTCTGAAATAAGCATGGAGCAAAAGAAACTTCAGGTCTGTTACATTTTCAGCTTGTTGTTGATGGCAGTGGGGTGCGGTAATTCTTTAACACACTGGAATTAGTGTCGTCTTTTTTAAAATAGTTGCTCTTTTTAGCTCATTTGGTACGCAGACAAATAAACAGTATATGGTGTTCATGTTATAGGAGGCTTTATCAAAAGCAGCTGGAAAGAAGAGTAAAACTCCTGTGCAGTTAGACTTGGGGGACATGTTAGCAGCTCTCGAGAAACAGCAGCAAGCAATGAAAGCCCGTCAGATCACTAACACCAGACCTCTCTCATACACCGGTATGTCTAACTAAATCTAGTTTTCCATAGCACCTGTTTTGAGTTTCAAAATGTGATCATTCTGAATTTAGTTTCTGAAGTTTCTCATATGATGGTTGCATTTCTCTAAGGTTATGGATATTTTAAACAAGGCTCACAATATTATAAAACTTAATCAGTTTGCAATGTGTTAACTAAAAACTACCTCAAATTGCAGTTTCTTAATCCCTGCACTTTTAGGTACAGCTGTGCCACTTGGGATACAATAATGAATTTCCATCTTACAAACTGACAGATGTTTACTAAAATGGCAGCTTTATCCACTACTTCGAATAATGCTAACCCCGGGGTTCTCAGCATCCAGCCTGCAGGCCCAATGTGAGCTGCAGGGCTTCCCACAGACCAGGAAGTTTGGTGGCAGAGGAGTAATGGCAGTAAATACGGCCACCCTTCCCTGCTGCCAAATTTCCAAACCCTAAGCCCTGTGCAGCAGGTTGGAGCCAGGTCATGCCCCCTTCCCACACCCCTTTGGCTGGATGAAGCCATACCCTGCCCCTCCCCCAGGCTGGATAGAGCTAGACCCTGCCTGCTCTCCTGCTGGGGTTGAGTTGGGGCTGGCTCAAGCTCCCTTCCACCCGTGGGGCTAGGTTGGGGCTGAGCCATGGCCCCACTCCCTTGTGGGGTTTGGCCACAGACCCTGCCCCTGTATGGCTAGGTCGGGCTGAGCCACAACCCTTCCCTTATCACTGGCCCTTGGCGGGGCCAGGTTGGAGCCAGGATGCCGCCCCCCCACCGCAGCTAGATGGGGCTCTGCTACAACTGTCCTGTGCTGAATTGGGACCACCAGCCAGATACAGCCTAGGAACTGCCCATCTGGGCTACTGACCAAAAACGTTGAGCACCACTCTGCTATCCTGTTCCTGAGAAATGAACCAAATGCAGCCTGATAATAGACATGGTAGCTTGCTTGCTACTTTGCAGTGCTCACATTTGCAGGGTGTTCTTCTAGCCATAACTTCTGATTTAGCAAGGCTGTATCCAGCAGTTCTGCAAAGATCTATGATATATGCTGATGTCATCTTCATTTTTAAAACATTTGTTTTGTCCTGGTACCACATGAAAACATCTAATTTCTTCTTTAGAAAAATGTGAGGTTAAGAAGGAGGAAAGATTTATTCTGTTATGCCAACTAATAGGTGTATTTGCTGATTCAGTATCCATGTATAGATACAGGGTATTTTATGTAGTGGGAATCTTACTGTTCTACATAATTGGATTACAGTAGACACTTGAAGGAGTTGCCCTCCTAATCGTTTGGGTTTTTTTTAATGCTCTACATGTATGTTTATTTTCCTCGAGTCAGTTATTGACTCTTTTTCCTAAAACATGAAGCTCAATTGTATTAAAACTTAAACCATCTGGAAGCAGAAGCACTTGGTGATGTAATTTTCCTGTCATTGTGCACTGCTTTTTCCAAGGAAGGAAAATGTTTTTTGAGAAGTCATTAGTGGAAATTCTGAAATGTCAGTTTCCTTTCAGCAATACCTTTCACTGAGAATAATATCTAATTGCTTATATTTAGTTGGCAGTGCTGCTCCTTTTCATACCAAAGAATCGGCCAACAGAAAATCATTAACTAAGGGACAGCCATCTATGGGTTGCCTTAATCCTTTGGACTCAACTGCTCCAAAAGTAAAAAGAGGAAAAGAGCGAGAGATAGCAAAACTGAAACGTCCTACAGCACTTAAAAAGGTAAATGGCATAACCTCTTGGAAACTGTCATGTTTCAGGATTTGAGAAATAAAATGACTTGCAGAGTTGTTTCAGTAATTTTTAGCTGTTGTCTGGTGGCATAGAGTATAGGGCTGAGACGCCTGCATTCCTGAATTTAGTCCTGACACCTGTGTCAATGTCTTGCTCTGTCATTTTACTTGTACATTTTAAAGCAGTTGCAAAAAATTATTAAATAACTGGATTGAACAGAGGTTCAGTTGTGTGGAAAAAGTAGCTACACTGTTGTGACTGACTGGTAGAAATCAATCTACATTGGTGCTTTCTAGTATGTAATGCACTGAGGCAAGGGTCAAAATCTGGCCTGTGGACCATAGGTTTCTGCCCCCAGAGGTCTAGTCTGGTAGGAGAGATCACCAACATGGAGCTGTGGTGGTGCTACGCACCCCCTTTGCAGCGCTTCCCTCCACCATGTCTGCACTTCCCTAGCTGCAGGTGTTGCAGATCTGCAGCAATTATGAATACAAGCAACTGGTCATTTGGGGAGCTTCCAGCCTGCTGCCAGGGCCAGGTTGCAAGCTCTGGCCCATGCCAGCAAAAGGCTGCTGACACCTGCACGAGGGTGTTTTTACTATTTTGATAACTAACTCTTTTTTCAAAAAGTTACATTAATACATTTTACCTAAATGCAAATGAACATTGTGTCTACTCATGTTTAAGACTAACACAAATGTGGTGCAGCATCCCATGCGCCAGTGCAGTACACCTCAGGTTTCAGTGACAAAGCATTGACCCGATCCTGAAATGGCCAGGTAGAATTTTTGCAAGACCATGTTAGTTTTGGTGTGAAGCCCAGGATGAGATTTAGATGCTTTTTGCTAGAAATAGGCTTTCTGTGATGATCATGTCCTGAATTGATATGGTCAGATGTTCTGTCCTGGCTGAACTATATAGTCAGTGTGGGACCCAAAGGCTGCAGAACAGGGATTGGCAAACTTTGATCTGCAGGCGAAATCCAGCCCATAAGGACATTTGAACCTGTCAGGGAATTGGCAGCATGTTCCAGCCATGGCAGCAGAGGCATCCCCAGGCTCAGCATCTGCTGATGGGTGGGCATACAGAGGTTTGAAGCCCACAGTGGGGTCGCAAACAGCAGCCTCTAGTGGCAGAAGGTTGTTAACCCCTCGTTTAGAGAGCAAAGACTCTCCAGTTGTGATCCCCTAATTTTTGGCAAATTTGGGGTCAGCTAAAGATGCTTCATCAAGGAATAGCTTTCTTGTGATCTTCTGGATTTAGGGGATGCAGTATGCTTCCGACATCCCCTGGGAACAGCCCTCCCACTAGCTGTGGGGGCCTAAAGCAAGTAATGTATAGCGGGTTACTCTTTACTCTGACCTTGCTATGCATGGATTCTCCTATGCCAGGTCACAGGTTGGAAAGTTCACATGAGTATTTCTCACTGTGAAAGCAGCATAAAAGGGACAGGAACAGGGCCGAAAATCTGTTCCATACATTTGATTTTTTTCTCATTGCAACACTTGTTTGGCTGTTTTGGTCTGTCTTTGTTACAACAAAGGTCTACATCATTTCAGCACTTTATATAGTCCTCTTTCACAGGAAGGAATAGAAGATTCTATTGTTATTTTTTTTAATTACATTCGTGCACCAGGTATATTACCAGGAGTGGGAGTGAGAAGTAGTGAGAGAAGTGAATGTTCTTTCCATACAGAAGTTGGAAAGTATTTAAAACAAAAGCTGTGAAACCTCCTCCCAGCAGCAGTGCTTATAACATAAACATGTGTTCATACATGGTGGAAACTTTAAAAGAAATTTTCCTTGTATCGTCCATCAGTTAAGGAATTTTTAAATGGGTAGTTTAAGTTGCTCTAAGACATTTTGACGTAGTAACACTGAAAGTAAACCCAGTGTTTTCTATGTAATAGAAGTATCTTAGAAGTATCCCCACTGTAGAAATCTATAACCTGCAGGTTTCTAATTGATTAAAAGTCTGTATCTTTGTTTCTAGATTATTTTAAAAGAGAGAGAAGAAAAGAAAGGTCGTTCAACTGTGGATCACGGTCTTCTAGGATCTGACGAACAGAAAGAGGTTCAAATAAGTTTAACTTCTGACCAGTCTCAGGAGATAGCCTCACAAGAAGGTAAGAACTCTTACATTTTTATAACCCTTTTATAATACATTTCACTGGTGGTAGCTTGTTATACAGGCAACCCCCACTTAACACTGTTTCACTTAGCACTATTTCACTGGAACGCTCATTTTAAATTGATACCTGATTTCACTTAACACTCAGCGAGTTTCATTATAACGCTCGTGGTCGCCATCTTAGGTTGTCATATACTTCTGGTTTCACTTAACGCTCATTGTTTCAGGAACCAATTAGGAGCGGGGGTTGCCTGTACATTGAATATCTGTTTCCCTTCTGAGGTGCTAGAAATTTGTCCAGGGCAGGGTGCTCGGTCTAGTTTAAATGACTAAAATACGAAGTCTCACCTCATTTGAGATGTTTCTTTCTCCTGGGCCACCCTATTAAGAAGCTTTTTTTCTGACATCTGGTAAAAACTTCAATTTAATCATTGCTACTTTTAACTTTGAATTTCTGTTGGGCCTTCTTATCAGCTGTTCTGTAATATTTGGAGTTGGTAAATGGTTCAAACCTTGCTTCCAGCTTCAGTAATCTACTATTCACTTTGCTCTCGTTTCTCAAAAAGTATTTCACTTCTTGTGAGCTTAACATATGTACTCAAATCCAAGACTAGGTCCCTCTTCTCCCCCTCCTACCTCCTCCCCC